GTGGTGTTTCATTAGGTTTAGTTAGGACAATATTCTTGGTTTTTTCTCAATTTGTGGGTCCCTAGAATCTGAGAGAGTGTTTTCCAGGTCTTTTTTATATCTCCTCTAGTGTCTGTGAATCTGCTGGAGTAGTATAGTTGTTTGGCTTTCTTTATTACTTTGGTAAGAACTGATGAATAGTGTTTAAGAATATCTTTGTGTATTAAGCCCTGTCTATATTGCTTTTCATATTGGTGTTTCTTGTCAATGGATTTCAGAATGGTGCTGGTTAGGCATGGGCAACCAAGCCGTTTGTTTGTGATCTGTTTTGTTTTTATAGGACAATGTTTGTTGTATAGTCTAAGTAATTTGTTAAGAAAAATGTCTGTCCAGTCATCAATACCATTGGCCTTGGAGAATTCTGTAGGCCAATCAACAGTCTCTAGGTCAGCTGTGAACTTCCTTATTGAGGCCTCGTCATGGAGTCTAAATGAGACTTTGTTGTATTCAAGTGGTGGTTTACTAATGTTTGTCAGGAGGAAGGTAGGGTAGTGGTCTGTAGTGCTATCTGTGATTATCCCTGATTTAAGGGGGGCTAGTATATTGGTCCATATGTGGTCTATTATGGTTGTACTTGTCTCAGTGAGCCTGGTTGGTTTAGTTATTGTTGGTATGAGAAGTGTGTTGTTCATATTGTTGATGAAATAAGTTACAGGCTGATCATCTAGTAAGCCAAGGTTGATTTTTTTTTCTTCACCGGTATTCTCCCGGCCCGGGTCTTTTCCAAGTAGTGGTGACCCAGCCTTGGCTCCCTATCTGGGGAGTGTCTCGAGACTTAAGTCCCCCATGGGAGGAGGTACAAGTACCTCCTCATCTTTGGGACCAAGTGTCCCCAGGCCTAGCCACATTCCGCCCTCACGGGGCTTGTAGGGAGAAGCTAGGCCTCTGGTCTGCCATCTACCCCGCCTCAAAGAGGCTCGTGGGGATGGCAGTCTTATGAGCTGCAGATGGTAGCAAGCTCAGGCCTCTCTCCCAAGGTTGATGTTGAAGTCTCCAGCTAAGAGAAGGTGGTGCTTATTCATTTGTCTGTTTGTTATTAGTGACTTTGATTTCTCACTGAAATTTGGGATGTTTGTGTGAGGTATCCGGTAAATGGCACCGATTGTTATAGGGGTCTTAAGGTTTTTTACAGTAAAATTAGCAAAAATGTATTCCCCATATTCATCACTAAAGCAAGTGGTGGTAAGACAAGATAATTGGTTAGAGTAATAGATTGCAATACCACCCCCAACTTGGTTTGTTCTGCAGTTGTGAATTGCTGTGTATCCTGGTAGAGGGTAGATATCTATTGTGTCCTGCTTAAGCCAGGTCTCAGTAAGAATAATGCAGGAGAAGGGTGTCTTTAGTGATTCAAGGAGTGCTAGGAGGTCATCATACTGTTTGCTTAAGGACCTGATGTTGTAGTTAAGTACTGATAGACTTTTAGCATTGTTTAGGATAGTGGTGGCTTGTGTTGCTGTGTAATAAAGGCAGTTACGTTTCAATAGGTTTTGATTGGGTGTCAAATTATGGAGGTTTAGATCAGGGTCAACGTGATCAATCATCTTCTAGGTTTAAATTATGGTTATTTATATCCTGAGTTGTGTGTTGAGTTCTAGTACTGATATCTGTAGTGGTAGGAAGTTTGGACAAGTATATAGCTAGAGTATTTTGGTCATGTAGAGTATAGTCACTACTACACATAATGAAGTTGATGTTGTCTATGTGTTGTGCTGGAATGAACTAAAGTACAACTAGGTATAAACTAGTAATATAAAAATTCAAATTAAAAATAGAGCAAGACTCTCACTTGTAATTGCACTAAGGTCTAATAATGACTTTTGTGGAGTCTATGTTTTGAGCTAGAATGAGCTATAGTACAATAGGTTTAATCTAATAATATAAAAATACAAATTAAAAATAGCACTAGTCTCTCACTAGTAATTGCACTATGGTCTAATATAGTGAATTTGGTATTGACTATGTATTGAGTTAGAATGAGCTATGGTACAACTGAATTTAATCTAATAATATAAAAATACAAATTAAAAATAGCACCAGTCTCTCACTAGTAATTGCACTATGGTTTAATATAGTGAATTTGGTAGTGACTATGTATTGAGCTAGAAAGAGCTATAGTGCAACTAGGTTTAGTCTAATAATATAAAAATACAAATTACAAATAGCACCAGTCTCTCACTAGTAATTGCACTATGGTCTAGTATAGTGAATTTGGTATTGACTATGTATTGAGCTAGAATGAGCTAGAGTAAAACTGTGATTAATCTAATAATATAATAAAGAAACAAGACTCTCAATTGTAATTGCACTAAGGTCTTATATAAGTTGTTTATAAGAATTAGAGTATAATTAGATTTAAATTGACAGGATAAAATACACAAATTAAGGTAGCAGAAGAATAATAAAAAAAATGATAAAAATAAAAATGGCAATGACTTGGTTATAATATGCTAGTAAGATGGTAGACAGGATAATATAAAAGTTGTAGTTGAAAATACTAGTTTAAAAAATTATGGAATAAAAATGGTCAATAAAAGAAGTTTACAATAAATTTGATTAATATAGTTTAAAGTAAAATTGGGCAATAATAGGGATTTAGAATAAAATTGGGCAATTGAGTATTTTTTAAAGTGAGGTAGAATTATTGAAGACAAGTTATGGTTAGAATAATGCAAGAAAAAGTGATAAAAAACAAGAAAAAAACTCCAAAAAATATACAGGCCGTGAGCAGACTCGCTACCCACATCGCCATCACCCTACCTGATATAAATGACTATAATTTCTTGTAGAAACGTCGTAGAACATTCATTCTGGTACCATTGTGTTGCCAAGGAGTTGAGCTATTTTTCAGTATATATAATTCAATTTCCATATTTTTTCGATTTTTGGGTGAGCGTGCGCGGAAATTTGCCCTACAGCCCTTTTAATCTTGTGATGACCCGTCTCTGGCTCCCAAAGGAAAATGGGTTCTGCAATGTTGCAGCATATGCTGCTCAAGCACTGTTCTAAACAGTTCATCTGGTGCGTCTCATAAATGACAACGCCATCTGTAATATGAACATTGGTTCATATACATGTCCATACTGGGCACATTACACACATACATACGTATATTCTTAGATATATGCACGCACATGTACTCTTAAATGTAGGCACTAGCGAGTAGGAGGAGATGTTATCACGAGCAACAGCTTGTCCGAGGCGTTGACTCCATGGTACACTAGTTCTCTCTGGTTCTTCTTTGGGAGGGGACGTCATTGCTAGTTGCCTTCGGAGTGTCTCAGCGGCGTGACACTCTAAGATAGTGTGTAGAGGCGCTGGACAAGGAACGTGCTGGCAGTGCTGACACATCTCCTCCTCTGCCTTATCGACCGTCATCTTGGTTGTGGGAAAGCCCAAACGAAGCCGATGGATGGCTGTGCAGTGCACTCTGGACCAGCTTTTATCATATGGAGGGGGTTCTCTTTGATTGGCTGCTCGGTACCACTCTTGAGATGGTGTATCACCCATATTATAAGTTTCATTGCTCTGGTGGCCACCAGATTGGTCTGGCGTAGGCTGATGGGGACGGTAATCCCCACATGCAGATGATCTGTGGCTGCCTTGGCCGCATCATCTGCTGCCTTATTCCCCCAGATGTCAGCATGGTTGGAGATCTAGTTCAATGTCACTTTGTTATCCTGAGCTTCCAAGGCCGACATTATGCTCAGAATCGATGTGATGAGGTAAACATTGTCCTGTGGTTGGGGATGGGAAAGGGCACTGATTGCATAGGTGAAGTCAACATGCATGACAGGTCGAAGCCGATGTTGTAGGGCATGTGACAATGCCTGCTGAATCGCCATCAGCTCAGCTTAAAGTATCGTGCAGTGGTCAGGGAGTTACCATGCCAGCTGCTGCTCTCTTCCTGTCAGGGTCGACAGAGCCATCTGTGCACATGTGCGTCGCTCTGTCAGTGAGGGTGTCTTGACTGTAGAGACGCTTTGAGGTAGGTAGTTGCATGATGCGAACGTCAGCCGGATCTGGGCGCCAGGAAGGTGGTGGATGATACCCAGAAACAGGAATGTCACAACTCTTTTCAAGAAGTAGTTCTATAGGCAGCAGCTTCCTCCCAGCAATAGAAACTGAACGAATCCAGGAGTAGTCCGTGAAGAGAGTTGGATTTTGTGTCATGGTTGCCAATATCCGTCTTCTGAGAGGGGGTATTTTGCTGACGGCGCAGAATCGTGGCTACTTTCCAGGCATTTATGTAGTTGTATAGGGAAGTTGCTTCAGAAGGAAGTTGGGCCTCGAATCTGAGACATATTGTGTTCATCCAGATGGGAGCCCCAAAGCATAGCAATTATCACCTGGTTTTGCACAACCTCCACCCATTGCCTGCTCTGCGGTGCACCGTAATCAATAAGCGAGCTCACAGCTTGTATATAGTACAACCGAAGTACTTCTTTGCTCGCCACTGCACGGTGCCTCGTCATGGCTCTCATGGCGTTGAGTCTGAGTAGAGGACGGGATCTGACATACTCTGCCTGTTTCTGAAAGGTCAGCTTTTTATCAATGTAGATTCCCAAGTATAGGTAGGAGCCCGTCCATTCAAGTTCTATATCCTGAATACGTAATCTATTCATAGGATCTGGCTCCTTGAACATCATTGCATGAGATTTGTCGGCGATCTTGAGGCCTAGTTCTTTACAAGACTGTGTTATTCGGTCCAAAGCTCTATGGGCCTGTTGGTCCAAATTTCCTTTCCCATTCACTACGAGTGGACGATCATCAGCACAGCTGAGGAAATTCGTACTACTATGAAAGGGAAGGCTCATAAATTCCTGCATAAGGATATTGGACAGAGTGGGACTATGCATACCTTGTGGTATTTCCATGAAGATGTTATAATGTTTTAAATGCCTTTGTTTCTACTTTTTAAGTTAAGATGGTTTTAAAATCAAGTTTTTCATCATTTACAGAGGACATCAAGAAGACTACAGGGAACACAGATGTGGTAGTGAGGCAGTTAGACACCTCAGACTTGACCTCCGTCAGGAAGTTTGCTGAAGGCATCCTATGCACAGAGACTGCTCTCCATATCCTGGTAAGCTCGCTCAAGTTATCTTAATAACAATATTGGTAAGTCCATTCAAATGCCGGGACACTACACTCCATATTTTGATAAGGTCAATCACGGGATCCTACACACAGAGACTGCACTCCATTGCCTGTACCTATCTCAGTGGTGACCTGTACTTAGCTCAGTGGTGACCTGTACTTAGCTCAGTGGTGACCTGTACTTAGCTCAGTGGTGACCTGTACTTAGCTCAGTGGTGACCTGTACTTAGCTCAGTGGTGACCTGTACTTAGCTCAGTGAGGACGTGTCTAGTGTACTCCCTGTGGAATGAATCAAAATGCCCACTATTGAGCAACTTTACCAGCAGCTTAAAGAGGAAATGATGGTAGCGAAGCTTGAGATACGGTGATTGACCGAGGAAAACTAGAGGATTCGTAGTAGTCCTCCTGTTGTGAGTCCTCAGCTCGAGAAGGAAACCTGGGCAGTGGCTGGAGAGCATGGAACGAAGCTGAGGACATGAAGGCAAATGGAGAGGAAGAAACAATGAAGAAAAAAAAGAAGGCTGTGCTAACTTTGAACTCCTTTTCTGTGCTACCGGACGAATGTGAGTCGATCACCCATGATCTTCCAACAAAGACAATTGTTAATAGCACAGTTAAGCCAACCAGTGAAGACATCCCAGTGAAGACCAACTCTACTAAGACTGTCGAGAACGTCATGCACACTGCCAGTCGAGGTAAGAGCATTGTTTTAGTTGGGGACAGTCAGATTAAATTTATGGATAGGGCTTTTTGTCTTAGGGATAGAAATAAGAGGCAGAGGGTGTGTTTTCCAGGGGCTGGGATGAAGGATATTGTTAGCCGTCTGGATGACATCATGAGAGGTAATGGGAGCAATTGTATTATCTGTCTCAGTGCTGGAGGCAGCGATGATGGCAGACATAGGAGTGAGAACCTGATTAGGAGGTATAGGTCAGTAATAGACATAATTAGGAAGAAGGGTAGGAACCCTGTCATATGTGGTATTTTGCCAAGGAGAGGAATTGGAAATGAATGGTTGTCTAGAGCAACTGGTGTCAACTGCTGGCTGGGCAAATACTGTAAGGAAAATGAGGTATCATTCATTGACAACTGGGACCTCTTCTATGGCAGAAATGACATGTATGCTAGGGATGGAGTTCACTTATCTAGGTCTGGGGTGAGGGGGGGGCCACTGGTAACTGCGGTGGAGTGAGCTGTTAGGGGTTTAAACTAGGAATAGTTAGTGTAGTAATATTATGAGTTCTAGGGGAACTACTAATAGGCAGAACGAGGTGGATATTGGAAAGCCAGTGGCACTAGGTGACAAGGACAGTGATAGATTTAGTGGAAAACAGAAATGAGCAGGAAGGGTAAAGAGAAAGGAGAGTCTTTAAATATATATTATGCTAATAGCCGTTGTGCTAGGAATAAGAAAGACAAGTTGAGATTAGATGCTAGTGCAGGTAATATTGATGTATTTAACATCAATGAGACGCGTTTTAATTAGAAAGTCGGGACATGCCTGCGGAATATCACATTCAGTGTTTTAAATTATTCCAAGTAGATAGAAGTATTGGGAAGGGGGGTGGGGTGGCACTGTATGTCCGAGATCACTTGAACTGTTGCATAAAAATGTGTATTAAGTCTGAAGTAACACATACAGAGTCTGTCAGGATAGATCGATTGGAAATTCTTGACTGGGAATTTAGAATCAAACGACTTCTTAGAAGTAGTTCAGGATTGTTTTTAGAAGCAGTTTGTGACAGAACCTACAAGAGGAAATAACCTGCTTGACTTGGTTCTGGCAAACAAGGAAATCCCTGTTAATAATTTAGAAATTACAGAGGAACTTGGCACAAGCGATCACAAATCAATTACATTTAGCATTGAATGGAAGTATGATAGTAAGAATAATTCAGTAATGGTCCCAGATTTTCTCTTAGCAGATTACAATGGGCTTAGAGAACACTAATCATCTGTAGACTGGGGTAACGAAGAGAGCTATCAATATGACAGCTTTCTGAACACCATGCATGCTGCCCAAAGAACATTTATCCCATATGAAGAAATTACATCGAATAGAAATGATCCAAAGTGGATGAATAATAGGCTGAAATGTCTTTTAGGGCAGAAGAAAGGAATTTATATGCATATCAAAAGAGGTGAGGGTCATCTTATGAATCAGTATATTGACATTAAGAGGGACGTTAAAAAGAGGATAAGAAAAGCTAAAAGGGACTATGAAATTAAAGTTGCTAGGGATTCTAAAACTAACCAAAAAATTTTTTCCAGGTGTATAGAACAAAAGTTTGAGATAAGATAGGTTCCCTTAAAAATAACTATGGGCACCTTACTGACAAAGAGATTGAAATGTGCTCTATTCTTAATAATTATTTTCTCTCGGATTTTACACAGGAAGACACTAACAATATTCCATTAATTAATTTTTATAGTGGGCCAAAAGAAGATAAATTATGTAACATCACAGTCACTAGTGAAATGGTTATGAAACAAATAGACAGACTGAAGCAAAATAAATCGCCGGGTCCTGATGAGCTATTTTCAAGGGTTCTTAGGGAATGCAAAATGGAATTCTGTGAACCAATAACTATTATTTTTAATATATCTCTTTAACTCGTTAACTGTTCAAACGTAGGTCTAAGTTCGTACAGCTAGCGCTCCGAATATTTTGAAAAATAAAAAAAATATTTTTTTTATACAGAAATAAAGAGCGCATTTTTTCTACGTGACATAGGATAAAAAAAATTTAGGGTCAGTACTTACCGAGACATGAGTCCACGAAGTTGATGATCACCTCATGGCAACATGATGATCACCTCGCGGCAACATGATGATCACCTCACGGCAACATGATGATCACCTCATGGCAACATGATGATCACCTTGTGGCAACATGATGATCACCTCGCGGCAACATGATGATCACCTCACGGCAACATGATGATCACCTCGCGGCAACATGATGATCACCTCACGGCAACATGATGATCACCTCACGGCAACATGATGATCACCTCACGGCAACATGATGATCACCTCACGGCAACATGATGTTTCACCTCGCGGAAACCCATGATGATCACCTCACGGCAAACGTGATCACCTCGCGGCAACATGATGATCACCTCGCGGCAACATGATGATCACCTCACGGCAACATGATGATCACCTCGCGGCAACATGATGATCACCTCGTGGCAACATGATGATCACCTCACGGCAACATGATGATCACCTCACGGCAACATGATGATCACCTCACAGCAACATGATGATCACCTCATGGCAACATGATGATCACCTCGCGGCAACATGATGATCACCTCACGGCAACATGATGATCACCTCGCGGCAACATGATTATCATGTGGGAGTTCGACACGTGGATTAGGTAAGAAATACTCACGTAGGCTGGTATTACGTATAATTACAGATAAGGTGGATAACGTCCTTACAGCCGTGACCTGCCTCCTTGCTCACTCTCGTATAACTGACTGACTGGCCGCCCGTACCCATATGTGAGAGGGTCTTTGAATAATGCCAGGTCAGCGCAATGAGTTCAGATAGTGACTCAGGCAGAGATGGTTGGTCGTGAGTCAACTGGCACAGTGGTTACTGGTAACTGGTTACTACTACTGAGAGCTCGGCGACGCTAACGTATGTGTCCCGACATACCAACTAATACAAACTAGAGATGGCAGGTATACGGCTTGGGCTGATTCTATACAATGTCAAAGTACACAACAATAAACATTTTTAACATACATAAGTAGAACATTGGAATGGAAGCTTACGTGACTGAAACTGTAATGCAATACAAGGTATACTATAGTACAACTTAAAACTCAACAAATGAACAAGGGAACTCAACGTTGAGATTACAAGTGATAAAAAAAATAATTTTGATCGATCGATCTGTATTCATGTGATTTTAACGGATTCTGAGGAAGGAATAATACAAAGAAAGGTGTTTAAACAGAAAGGAAAGATTCGGTGCACTCAAATCTAGACTGTTAACTCTCAGAATGCGGAGAAAACAATGAACACAAAAAAAAAAACTTCTTGAATACTGATAAGTTGATACAGTAATTATTCATCTATACAGGTTATTTATATTTAACCCAACTCTGCTAGGGTGAGATTGACATATGAGAATGGGTGTCATCTTGGGAGGATCAAACTCTGTAGCATTGGCTAACTCATGCTGTATTTGAGGCAAATCTGAATTGGAAGTTACAAATGATATTTGAGGATTTCTCAATACCTGTCGTGTACGTAGGGAATAACGAAATTCGGGTTGATCGTCTGACTGAGTATCAGAGGATGAGAGTACGGGATCAGGAGGATTGTCAGAGTCTGTCACAATAGTCGGGTTGGAACTTTCATTATCATCACATACTAACTTCATATGATCTAAATGCGATTCTTTATACTGACCAGTACTAATCTCTCAAACCCCTTATACTTATTACCAGTGATGTGTTCAACTACTCGATAAGGACCAACAAACTTTTGATCAAGCTTTGGCATTGCAGACGTTTTGTTAAAGTTAATCAGCATAACTCTCGAACCTACTTTGTTTTTGGGATGGCTTTGCTCGAGTGTTTGCGACTCTTGTAAATTCAGCTGTTGAATTTATGAAGTTTTTCACGGATTCTTCTAAAAAACACTTTGAGCTAAGCTGGTAAGAGTTGCTAAGAAATCATCAGGGTTGTAATTTTGGTTTCGGATTAGAATATAACAACTCATAAGGCAAACGTTTATCTACACCATAAATGCATAATGTGGAGTGTCCCTATAGAAACATTGTAAGCAGAATTTATAGCACACTGCACATCAGGTATAAATTTCATCCCAAGTTTCACTGTTGGGATTGATAGTGGCTCTCAAGACATCAAGTACTTTCTTATTGGTTGGTTTGCTAACCCTTTTGCTGGCAGGATGATGAGGAACAATGGTGGATTTAGAGATCTTGTACAAGGTACACAAATTTTCAAGAATCTCATTAC